GCTCATTGTTGGTCTTGGATAAAAGACTATTTTCAATTTTCAATTTTGAAGTATCATTTTTGTATTTTGAAAACAGAGTCTTATAATCTGAAGCCAAATCATTATAATCCTCTAATAACTCATCATAAGATAATTCATCTTAATCAAATGAGTTAGAGGTTACCTTAGAATCTTCCCTGATAGCCATTAAGCACAAGTTTGCAACTTCTTGTTCCTCTTCATTGAAACATTATTCATCGCTCCATGTAGCTACATGAGCCTTGTGCTTCTTTTTTGATTGACCCTTTTTCTTCAATTATGGGCAATCATAATTGACATGCCCCGACTTTTTGCATTCATAGCAAATGATCGAGTCTTTCTCATTTGATTCAGTTTTGAAGCCTTCATTGCGTTTGAATTTTCTTCCTCGGTTGGGCATCACCAACTTTCTGAATCGTTTGGCAAATAATGTCATTTCCTCGTCATCATCATCGTCATTCGAATCACTCTCATCTTTTGTGGATTTGAGAGCAACTCCAATGTTTTTATTCTTCTCATTCTCCTTTGGTGTATCGTCAATCTTATCGAGGTCCACTTCATCTTCAAGCATCATTTCATGAGTGAGAAGGGAACCGATTAGCTCTTCAAGAGTTAAGGACGTTAGGTCCTTAGACTCGATGATTGTCGTCTTCTTTGATTGCCATGATTTTGGAAGAGAGTGGACTAACTTCCTCACAAGCTTTTCATTTGAAATGATATCTCCATATGATTTGAGACCATTGACAATCGTTGAAAATCTATCCGTCATAGCTTTGATATCTTCATTTGATTTCATCCTGAAATTTTCATAGTTATGCGTTATAATGCTAATTTTAGATTTCTTTACCTCATCAATACCTTCATGAGTGACTTGAAGCTTGTCCCATATTTCTTTGGCGGTTGTACAAGATGAAACTCTTCCGTATTCATCTGGTCCAAGAGCACAAAATATTATATGGATGGCTTTGGAGTTGAGCTGGAACATTCTTGTCTCTCCTTCACTCCACAACCTTGGATGAGTGAGAGGCTTGATGTTTCCTTCTTCTACGGCATTCTATGCTCCCATGTCACTTGCTTGAATGAAGTACATCATCATATTTTTCCAATAGGCATAGTTAGCTCCATTGAAGAAAAGAGGCTTGTTGGCGGGCATCGAATCGAGACCGAAGTCGTAATTTGAAGCGGAGGCCATTGATGACTTGATAATCGATGTAACTCTTCTCGAATCGACTCAAGAGGCGATTAAACCTTCAAATGAGTGAGGCTCTGATACCAATTGTTGAGTTAATTGATCGATGGAATCGTCCAAGTGGGGGGTGAATTGGCAATAAAAATTTTGGTGGAAGCTTTTGCAGAAAATTGAAAGTAATTACACAGTGATTTACAGTGGTTCGACTTTATCAACCAAAGTCTACGTCCAGTACCTTAGATATCCACACTAAGGATTTTCCAACAAATTCACTAATTTGTTCTTTCTTTTGAGGCCAAAGAGATAACAACTCCCTCAAGAATATACCCCAATTCTTGAGAACACTCTTTTCACAAAGAGAAGATTACAAATTTGCAAACTCACAAGAAAAAACCTCACAATGCAAATATGTTTGGACAATTCTAGAACAAAGAAATAACACTCAAGAATAAATACAATTGAGCACAATAAGTGTTCTTGAAAGCAAAATGAATATTGAATGAAAAATAGGTTTGAAATGCTCAAACTTGAGGTTTGATACTTTCTCTTTGATTCTCTCTTGATTCTAATTGCTTGATGTTTCTTATTCTTGATCAATGGCTTCTAAGCTTGTTTAAATACACATTCAAATGATTCTGAACGTTGGGGATGCTTAGTGGAGTCAATATAGCCGTTTAAGTGTGAAAACAATTAATAAATTCAGTTGGGAGCGTCAGTGCATCGATGCATACCCATGGTGCATCGGTGCATCAGTGTAAAATTCAAATATTTTGACCGTTGGACCCTTAGTGCATCGGTGCACTAAGAGTGCATCGATGCATCAAGTGCATTCGATGTTTCAAAATAGCCAAAGTGCATCGATGCATGGCTGGTGCATCGATGCATCAAATGCATTCGATGTTTTCATAAAATCCTCAGTGCATCCGTGCATGGTATGTGCATCGATGCATGAAATGCATTCGATATTCAATTTAATTCATGGTGCATCGATGCATGGATTGGTGCATCGGTGCATCACTCTGAAAAATTGATTTTAGGCTTGATTTGAGTTCAAAATACTTTGTGAAAATTTGTTTAAAAATAGTTTAAGTATAAAACACAAATTTACACATTTAGTAAGGTTTAAAATTGATCTTGAAAGACTTGGAGTAATAGCTTGATATTCGAGTAATTAAATTGAATATACTTTTAGAAAATCATTTGTAAAATCTTAAAATTCATTTAACTTAATTTGTTATATCGAAACATCAAAATATTTTTCAACATATTTCATTTGAAAAACTATATAAACAATAATATTAATTTTTTAAACAGTAATTGACAAATTTTTTAAACATTAATGCCTCGTTTTGGTACATGAATTCAAACCTTAATTATTGGTTTATCCATAATATAAAGTAGAAAATAAAACTGAAGTATGGAACAATAAAAATATAAAGAATAATTATTATAAATTTAATCTTGAAACTAGAATAATGTGTAAAAACTAACGTAGAAAGCAAAACATCTATAAAATAAATAAAATATTTACTTATTTTTATTCAAATCAAGTAACGTGAGTGGATAAAAAATAAAATTAATTTATTATTAACTCGTATACTAAAACAGGAAAAAGTAATACTTCTATCAAACATATTATAAATATTAAATTTGTTTAAATTTAGACTTATTTTATTATTTCATTAGTATAAAGACTGAATTCAAATTAATTTGAATCATTTTTTATAATAAAAAAACTATAATGATCCATCTAATAATCAATAGATTAATTTAGTTCAATCAACAATTAGTTGGTTTAGTTATATGAAAAACTAAATTTTTTAAGTTAGATCAAAGATTTAAATATTGACGATTACGAATAAAACAAACTTAATTGAGAATATCACCTCATAATAAATCTATGCAAAATAGATTAATTTGGTCCAATCTTACCATAAACATGGGTGTTCAAACGGGTAATTCGGTTAACCGATCGAACCGAATTACCCAAATTTCATTAATTGAATTTTTTTCCCATTAACCGTTAACCGAACCAATTTTTCTCTAAAAAATTTAACCGAACCGAACGAAGTATGATTAGTTGATCGTTTAACTGAATTAATCTAAATTTATAAATAATATATATTATATATTTAATTTTAAATATTTTTTTGTTTATTTGGTTAATTTTGTCGGTTAATTCGGTAAAAATCAAATTCAAACACCCCTAAAGTTACATAATATATATATATTTATTTATTTATTTAATAATTTCGGTTAATTTAGTTAATTAATCGATTTCGAATCAAATTAATCGAAATCAAAATTTTAAAAAAATATTAATTGTTATCCGATCGATTAACCGACTAAAATTTCGATCCAATCGATTAATTCAATTTTAACCGAACAGTAAACCCACCTAATCATAAAGACACCTGCGATGTATGGTAATTAGGTCTGTGTTACTTGGTATATGATGTGATGATTTGGACATGATGCAACAACCCATGTGCTACTTTAAAGCAAGTACCAATCGCATGAGTTGGCAAATCTACCATTACCTTAAAATAAAAAGTATTTTCTATTTTTTATACAATTATACGTATCATGAGATTTGATTGACACCTAGGATAATATAAATCAGAGAGTATTTTTTTAATTTGATTGGTTTATCCAAGTCCTTACTTTTGTTTTTTTATTATTATATTAGGAAAATTATTTTGTTGTCATAATGACATCAGCTTGCATGAGAGTTGAGGCAGTATTGATGAGCGTGATTACTAATTAGATGTAGCCGTTTGTATTATATGGGATCCACCATCAAATGATTTTCATTATATAAGTAGCTTCAAAATTCAACATCCCAAAAGATTATGAGCATAATGATAAAAACGATCTATAATATTTAGTTAAACAATTATTTTAATTTATGTACTTTTAAGCATTATGTTTATTTTTTAAGGAAAAAACTTATATATAGATGAAAATTGTTAATTAACGAATTATCAAACTCTAAAATAAATTTTTTTTAAAACGTTGGTGATCAAAATATTTTAAAAAAAGGAAAAAAAGTTAAAATAACTATTTAATCTAACCTTAAAGACTTATTTATCCAATAATGAAAAGTTGAGGAGCCAAGAAAGATGCTTAAAAAAATACAAAATAATCGATTAATCAATGTTAGGGCTATTTTTTACATTATGCCAAGACTATAACAAAGATAAATTCATATGTTTAGAATCAATTAATTACATATATTTGTTTGTTTAATTAAATTTTATATTTCAATGTTTTTCTTTAAATATGAATTGGATTTAAAATTAATAAAAAATTTAACTATAAAAATAGATAAAAATTAATTCTGTTGATTTTAAAAAGGAACTCATAATATAAAAAATTAATTAATTGATTTTAGACTTATTTAAAGAATAAATTATAAATTGTAATTTGCCATTTTTTATTAAAATAAAAAGTTAATGCCATATATGTAATTATTTCATATTGTATGTTAAACTAAAATTATTATATTCTATTGATAAGATCTTTAGGTCAGACAAATTTTTTTAAATGAAAAAAGGCATTTGATTAAGCAATTATCATTTCCCGTCTTTCACGTTCCGCCGACATCCTTTATTATCATTTAATTAATATTAGTCAGTCGTATACACAGACTTTCCTCAAGTCAACTCACCCCACCTCTCTCTCAATCATACCAACTCAATGAATTTTTAATGCATTTAAAATTGTTGTTTTTAATACCATAATTATGAAAATATAGGAAAGTACGAGAAAAGGTACCTAATAGCATCCGATAAGAATAAGAAACGTGCCACGTTCTTATTACAAACATTTTTTTTGTAGAAATAAAATTCAGAATAACACGGAAACACGCTCATAAACATACACAACGGTAAACAAGGGGGGAATGAGGGGAACTCAACTTTGAATTTCCGAGGTGAGCTCCGTGATAGATGGAGTTGAAGGAATCAGTGCGGCGGGTAGTTTGGTCACTGCAACCAAAATGTCGGAGTAACCAACCACCCCGACTAAAACATCATCATTATCATCCTCGGTCACCCACACGTGGGTTGCCCTATGAGACAGCATTTGAGCCATGACCGCAGCTAAAGAACTCGAAGTTTTACATGTCAAGGGTGCACTTCTGCCCCTATACATGCTCCTGCCAACACCGAAACTCGGGCTCACTGGGTTAAACCCGATGCTTCTACTACTGAATCTCCTTAGCCTTGCTGACCCACCACCATTGGCTGTTTTATCATCTTGAACTGAAGAATTAACAGAAACATCGGGAAGCAATCTCGAACTCACATTATCCTCAACCCCCATAACAAATTGTCCCGCTGATAGGTTGGCTAAAGCCCAAGCAGCTGCTAAATAATCACATTTCCATAGTTTAGAGGCCGAGATTTCTCCTATAATCTTATGGTGACCATCTGGTGTGATCTCCAAAACGGCAACTGCACTGGGATCACCGGGATGCTTTTGAGTTGCTTCTAAAGCTGGGAGGGAGGCTTCAATAGAACTATAGTCCAGGTTAATGGCTCCGAGCGAGGAAATAGAGGAGAGTGGAAGAGGAGCTAGAGCACCAAGGCAACCAATGAGGAAACGGATAATGTCTTCTCTCGAGAGACAGCAAAACTTGTCACGCATGTAGGTGGAGGTGGATGAAGAGGAAGGGCGGTTGGCAATAGCAATGAGGTTGCTGCTGCTAGAATTTTCATTATTCTTGAGCCACCTCCCATTATAAAGAATTGAGAATCTCTTGCTCATGCCTTTCCATACCTTGCTCTTTGGAACAAGAAGTCGCCTCACACCCTGCTTCATCATCTCGAGAGCATCTATCAATCTAGTCCAACAACAAAGAATTAACAAAGCCGATAGAGAACATTGAAGGCAGAGCCAAAATAAAATTTCTTTTGTCCACAAATTTCTCGGAATAAAAATGCCACTACAAATAAAATCACCAACAAGAATGAAATCTGCTCTTTTCTTCAAATGAACCACATTGAACGAGGTAAAGACTCGCAATACTTATGCAGGTTTCACATTACTAACCAAATAAAAATATCAAATTAGACACTAAACCATATAATTAAAACAAAATAAACATAGAGCTCTCTCATGAAAAACATACTATTTGTTTAATAGCCTACTCCTTAGATGGGATCAAAACTTAGACATGGTAGTGGAAAATATAAATTTCATTGCCGTTTGTGCCTTGAGGTATCAAAATTAGACATGAAACAACTTGTTGGCAAAATCTAGCAGACATGGCTATACATAGTAAGCTAAAAACTGACACAAAGGATGCAACGTCGACTGCAACCACAAGATGCTTGCTCATAATCAAAATATATTCCAGTATCGAAACATATATGAATGTATTCAATACAACTGCTTAACTCTACAAAAACAGGCCTAGTTAAAACCATGTCCATTAGCTACCTAAATAATTCTAAACAGATATGCATGCATTCGATGTTGACATGAGTCCAGATTTTGGTTATCTTAGGGTGTCTACAAGGAATGTTCCTAGAACAAGTAGTAAAGCTGCTTTTCAAGAGAAAAGACTTTTTAGAAAGGAAAAAAACCAAAAACTTTATTCTGGAAAAGATACTAGTAACAGCTTCGGTTAAAAAAATGGAATCTAGACTCCAAAAAAGTAAAAATTTGGACATGTTTTATTATCAAGAGCAAGTCACCACGTAAAGCTCCAATGCTTCTCCATGGAGTTGAAGCAATGCTCCATGGTGTTGTATCCTACGTCCATGGTAGTTAATCTCTCCACCATGTACGAGTGCAGAGAGAAAAGTATAAATCACTTGAAACAAAGCATAAATCAGGTATGCCCTGGCCCTGGACTGGGGAGCCACCTGACCTAAACTTTATGTAACCAAAAAAAAGCATAAATCACTTCAACATAAAGTTAAATCATGAAAATTCTTGTGATACTAAGGTCATAGGTCAATCCTCTGAAAAAAGTGGAATTTTTTTACAACATTTCTAAGCTGGAATAAATAAATAAAGAAGCAAGTGATTAAACATAAGCAGCAATGAACTAACCTGGTGGCAGGATCAACAATCTTCAGGAGAGCATTATTAGGGACAACAACATCAGCAACTTGTGTTTTCATAGCTTTATCTTGATCTTCCAAACAATGAGTTTTAGCTAAAAAGGAGACAATATCAAGTGAAGTTAAAATACCAACAAACCTCTGTTGTCTCATTTCATTCTTTTCAACCATTCCCACATGAGATATCCTCTTCCAAACTGGTATCCCACACTCTGTTGATTCTCCTATTGCTCTTATAGCTGCTTCCACCGTTTCTGTTTCCGAGAATTCAACCAACTCCGGCTTCCCTACAGTCAGATCCCCAACCACATGGTACAAAAGCACTGATGCCATTCCTTAAATTTCCTATTTGTTTACTGAGACAACTGGAAAGAGAAAAGAAAAGACATACAAAAACAAAGAAAAACCATCATTAAGATCTGAATTATTCATCCCAATTCGATAAAGGGTGCTTTTATTTTCAATTACCGATTTGTTTTAATCAATCTAAAGTTGAATACTTTCCTTCACTTTATCAGTTTCTATAGCCAACCAAACAGAAAAATCACAACAACAAGAAGAAAACCGTCCACGAGAAGCTACTGAATTTCCTATAAAACTTACAAAAGTTCAATTTTACAAGATAAAAACGCCAAAAGGATACCTTCTTAAATCAAATATCCGAGCTTCTTCCCCCTGATTCACCTTCGAAATGAAAGAAAAATCGGGTTTTTTTTTCTTGAAACCGGGGAAAACCGGTAGGAAGGAAGAGTTATAAGAGAGAATGGAGGAAAATAAGGAGGAGGTGAATGCCAGTGATCGGTAATTTATGTAGAATCAGAAGAAAGCAGAGATATGGAGCCATGGAAAAGCAGGAAGAAGAAGATGCAAAGAAACAAATTTATAGAAACAGAATCCCATTCACGATGATCTCCCGTTTGCACTACTGACAGGATTGGTGTGGCAACAAGCCTATATTTTGGGGGAGGAAGTAAATTTTCCTTCTGCTTTAGCCTTCTTTGGAGTGTTTTGCCGAATACTGATAAGATTGAGAGAAAAATAGAATAAAATTTGGCGAATTATTGAGGGTGGCACTGGCAGCCTGCCAAGTGGGCCTCTCTGGCAAATTAAAATAGATACCGTGTACAAATATATTTTTTAAATAAATTACATTAAATACCATTGGGTTGTAAATAATGTATTATTTAATCACTAAATTTATTAATTATAATATTAAATTTTAATTATGATTTAATATCTTTATTAAACGGTTAAATTATTAATAAATGTAATATTTGATCATTTTTCTTGTGAACTTTAATCTGACTATTAAATTTTAAAATATTTTAATATAATACTAAATTTTAGTTAATATATCAATTAATCAATTTGATTCTTATAGAAAGTTATAATCTCTTTCAATTATTAGTGTCGATAAATCGTTACTCGTCATCATCAAAATTCACGATAAATTTAATATCAAAATATTTTCATTTTACTCTTATTTCTTTTTTTGAATTATATTTTTTTATAAAATTTACTAAAAATTGACAAAATATATCTAAAGACATGTCGTTTTAATTCTCTGATCTCTTCTAACAACTGTTTGACGAGATTAAGTTCGATATTTGATATTATTCTTCTAAAAAGATACTTCTCACAATTTAAATTTTCAAACAAACACATCAAAGACCTCAAATTTTGAAAAGTCCTTAAATGAAAAAACGACAAATCTTTTATGTATATTTTAATGAGTTTGAAAGAAAAAAATTAAATCGATAAAATGATAAAAAATAATGAGATGGGTTTATCGATATTTAAAATAATAGTAAAAACTTAAAAAAAATATTTTTTATGACAACTAGAAGTAAGTGACATAAATCTTTAAACACTCTAAATAGGTTATAATTTACAAATATAAATTTACAAAATATAATCTTGAGTCAAATTATATATTAAAGTCAAAATTAAGTTGAGACTAAATTGTAGTTCAAACTCAAAATCAGAGTCAAATTGTACCAAAAAAAAAATAGAAGCTAAATTGTATATTTCAATGGCCAAAAGGTCTATTAATCCTATTAAAGAATGGATTGTTTTTGAAATTTACGTAATTTTTTTCTTAGAAAAACATAATAGGAGGTGAATTATTTTGGTGGGATTATGATTATATTATTGTGTTGAAAAAAATTAGATTATTAGAGTTTGAAATGCTACTTTTGTATTTTATTTGTTAACATTTTGGTTTTTCTTGGATAATTCAAAAATTTATTACTCAAAATAGCAATGTTGCTACAACCAATCAACCAATCAAACAAACAAAAGAAACTATTAACAACCAAGAAACAAAAAATGATTGGTTAGACTATATTCCAAGCATTACAAAGACTAAAGTTAATACTATCAAGTCTATTAATTGGTTTGCCCCTTAGACAAATGGCCACGACATCCTTGATTTCTTTAAGTAAGGCTTCAACATTTCTTCGACGTCCGAGGAAGGTTCTGCAATTACGTTCTTGCCACAAAGAGTAAATGAAAGCAGACCATGCAAGCTTCAAGATGATAGTGATAAGTGACTTCCCTTTTCAATAAGAACTTGCCCAAGCAATTAATGCATCCCAAGACATGTTAGAGGAATTCATACCATTAAGAAGCAAAATTGAGCTCCAGAGGTCGACTGCCAAATGACAGTGGGAGAAGAGATGGTCTCGTGACTCTTGGAAGGAGTTGCTGTTGACACAAATACTATCAGAACAGATTCTCATTCGTTAGAGACGATCTCTGGTAGGAAGTCTGTCGAGGATGGCCATCCAAGAAATCATATTGTGCTTAGGAATATGCATTGGAAACCAGTTTAGTCGATGCCAAGAAACCTTCTGCTCTTGCGTTAGAGTCATTTCCCAAATTTCTTTAGTCTGCAAATGACCAGCAGTGAAGAGAGAAAAAGAAACAGTCCTCAATTTAAGAATCCGTTTAATGCTCCAGCTTATAGTTGCTCCAGCTTGAAAATGACATAAATCTTGATTCTTTAGGACATAGCCATTAAGGCATGCTACCCAAATGGATTTGTTTCCTGCTAGGATCTTCTTGATAAGATTAAAAATACAGACTCTGCACCATTCTTTTAGATTTTTTAGTCCAAGGCCTCATTCTGACTTAGGAGGACATATACGTTCCCAACTTACTCTGGCTCCAACAGCCTTTTTATCAGCTATTTTCCAGAAGAATCGGGAGCAAATGTGCTCCACCTTGTTTAAAATATAAGCAGACAACATAAGTTGTCTACACCAATAATTGCAGACACTGTAAAGGATAGTTTTAATCAATTCAAGTCTGCCTGCATAACTTAAGTTCCTACCAGACCAGATCTACAACCTTTGTTTGATTTTGGTTAGTAAAGCTTCACAATTTTTGTCAGTGAGCTTACGAGAGACGAGAGGAATACCAAGGTATTTGATAGGAAGAGAGCCACTTTTAAAGCCAGAGATCCTTTTGATGTTATCCATTATGCTTAAGGGAATACCCGCAGCAAAGAGCTCATATTTAGAGGAATTGAGCTTAAGACATGAAATTTTATGGAATTGGTAAAGTACACTAAGCACACCTACCACCGAGTCCACATTACCTTTACAAAAAATCATAATATCATCCGCAAAAGATAAGTGAGTGAGTCCTAGCTTGTTGCATTTAGGATGGAATCCAAAAATTCTTTTATTTGCAGGCAAATTGAGCATTCTAGATAAGATGTTCATAGCAATAACAAAAAGGTAAGGGGAAAGAGGATCCCCTTGTCTAAGCCCCCTATCCCCTTTGAAAAAACCAATTAAGGTACCATTGAAATAAATATAGTATCTGGCTTGAGAGAAATATTCTTCAATCCAAGCTATAAACTGACGAGGGAGCTTAATAACTTTAAGGATAACAAAGATGAACCTCCAATCAAGAGAGTCAAATTCCTTGTGGAGGTCAATTTTCATGGAGCATCTAGGGGAAATGGTTTTCCTACCATAACCTTTAACCATCTCTTGAGCAAGCAGTGAATTATCAATAATGCTCATTCCTCTTATGAAAGCAGACTGATTAAAATAAACGATCTCAAGAATGTAAACATTCAGCCTGTTAACAAGGATTTTAGATATAGCCTTATAGATCACTGAACAACAGGAAATTGGTCTAATGTCTTTAATAGTACTTGGGTTAGGGACTTTAGGAACAAGAGCAATAACAGTGGAATTAAAGGTTGGATTAATGATGTTGTTGCTAAAGAAATATCTAACAGCTACTTTGACATCCTCTCCAACAATTGGCCAGGTTTTCTTGAAAAATAAGGGAGTGAAACCATCCAGTCCCGGAGCCTTATCATTTCCTTGGCAAAAAATGGAATTATGGATTTCTTCATCGGTAACATCCCTAATGAGGCTGATTGAAGCTTCAGAAGGTAATGAGTAGTTTAAGAGGTCTTTGAGAATGATATGATCAATCTCCTTTAAAGAAGTATCAGCAGAACCAAGCAGTTTGGAATAGAATTAAATCACTTCTTGAGCCATTGAATCAAAAGATTCTAATTTGTTTCCTCGATCATCCACAAGGACCCTTATAGTATCCTTTTTGTTTTTAAAGGCCACTATAGAATGGAAAATTTTAGTATTTTTATCACCATCACGAATCCACTGGACCTTTGCTTTCTGCTTAAGGAACTCTGCTTCAGCTTCCTCCAGTAAATTTAAATCATCTTGAAGACTAATTTCCTTAACAATGTTTTCCTCTCCTTTCAAAGTGCGGAGCTGCTGTAGTTCCAACTCTAGTCTCTTAAGCTTCCCTCGATCCAATATGTTGCTGAAACTGTCCTTGTTAAAGCTTTTGAGTATGACTTTAAGTCTCTTTAGTTTGGTAAATAGAATTGTCATTGGATTGCCTTGAACATTAGGTTTTCAATAGTGCCTAACCTCATTCAAGAAATTTGGAAGAGCAACCCAAAATTTGAAAATTTTGAATGTTTAGGCCTATTAACAAGAGATTATTTAAATAGCCAAATAATGGCCATACAATGGTCAGATATGCTAGGGGGAAGGAATTCAACAAAAGAATATGGATAAGAAGTAGCCCAACTTGGATTTATCATTACCATGACAAGTTTCCTAGCAAGGAATAACTCTTGTTGCTTGTTGCTCCAAGTGTAAGTTTGACCAAATAAATGATGGTCCATAATGTCAGTATCATGAGTGAGGTCTTGAAAGTCTTTCATATCAAGGGTGATATAGTTGCCTAGTAGCTCATGATCAGAACTTTCCTCAGGCTACAGAAAAATGTTGAAATCACCATCCAAGGTCTAGGGGGACTGATTGACAATGGGATCAACTTCTCTAATAGTTTGCCAAAGTTGTCTTCGAGTAATCCCATCATTACTACCATAAATGGCTGAGATAAAGACATGGGAGCCCATAAAAGGTCCTTTGAGAGTTATGCATTGATATGAGACTTGGATGATAGATAAGTCGATTCCTTTTCTCCAGAGGACCCATATCCTACCATTAGAAGCAAAATCGTAGTTTATATAAGTATTCCAATTTGAAAATTGAGAGCTAAGAATAGTTTCAGATTTGTCCACTTTAACTCTGGTTTCCATGAGGCAAAGAACATCAATTTTATGAAGGTTGGCTCTCTGAACCACTTTATTCTATTTTAGAGGATTATTAAGTCCTCTAATGTTCCAAAAACTTACTATCATTGAGAATGAGAGCCCCTGGAACCCCCTTGACATCCATCAGAGAGACTTTTAACCATGTATATTTGCTCATTCTTTTTAGACTTTAGCTCGTTAACTAGGCCAGCAACTCCTAGTGAAGCAGCTCATGGTTTCCTGGAATTGATTCCTATGTTAATAGGTTCATCTTCAACATAGTTGAGAAGATCGAATATGTTTTTTGATCTTGTGAGGGGAACCTTAGATTTGTCTTTTAAAGGTATGCCTCTACCTTTTTTAGAAACTACTGGATGAGAATTATTTCCTCTGTCTGAAGTTCCAATTATTTCCGTGGTGGAGTGATCGCTTACAATAACAGGGATAGTAAAGTGGTCTTCAGAATTAACATAAAGATCATTGGATTGAACAGTAACATTAATCAAAGCCTGGGAAACGTTAGCTTCATGGGATGATAAATTCTCAGGTTTTTCAGAGGCTGTGAATTCAACCTCCACAAACTGTGTAACTTCAACCCCCTTTGAATCATTGATAGTCTGTTCCTGAAGAACCTCTAATCTTTCAGCATGAGTAGTAGCTAAGTTAGGATTAGGATCACATTTCTTTCTCCAGACTTGAGAGACAGTAGAGGAAGTAGTAGGCTCCTAGGAGCATTATTTTTCATTGTGGCCATAAACTTTGCATTTCTTGCAGGATTGAGGAAGCCAGGGAACCTCCACGATGATAGAAGTAGTTTGACCATCATTTAATATAATATCGATAAATTTAGGGATGACACCCTATGATCCAATTTCAACACATACCTTAGCATACTCTAGCCTAGTTTTTGAAGTTGTAATAGTGTCCATTGAGAGAGGAACTCCAATGGCACTTGCTATATAACTAAGGCCAGTTCAATTGAATAGTTCTAATGGAACATTGTACAAGTGTACCCACACTGGAATCTTAGATAAGCTAAAGTTCAATCTCTTCAAATTAGGCTCCCATTTTCTAAGTATAAGAGGTTTGTTGTGAACATGCCATGTTTCGTTTTCAAGTACCCAGTCTCTAGTATTTTCAGAATTAAACGAGAATAAGTAGAGGTTATTTCTAGCTGAACTGACCTGGACTGAAGAACCTTGCAACGCTTTGCACAATAAGCTTTCAACAGTTCTTCGCAGCGAGGAGAAGCTTGGAGTAACACCGAGAAATTGACCCACAATGGACAATTTCCATTAAGAATATCCGGCTTCGAATATTTCTGGAGGGGGAAGCACGGTCGGGACTCCATCGCGAAGATTTGGGGGAAAGTATTCTAGGTCATGGACTTCAGGACTCCCAAAAAGCTTACGCCAGTCCATCGGACAAAAATAAAGCAACACTGAAAGAGAAACGACAACGACGAAGATCTTGATAAGGAAATCGGACGACGATGAGCACCGACGATTCAACGAAAATCTTTGGTTCTATTAGCCCTACTAACGTGTATCCAGAAGATTTCATAAACGTGCGCCATTAGCCCTGTGATACTTTAACATATTGATTTTATATGATAATAAATTAATGTTTTATGCTATTATTTTCATTTTTATTTATAAAATACAATATTAAAATTGTGATATTAAATATTTATATATAATTAATTAAGTTATTTTAAATTTAAATATTTATTTTCATATTTAGATTAAATAAAAAATATTTAGTTTAAATTTCCAAAACCAAAAACCGAACCGAATAAACTACCAAATTGAATGAACTAACCGAATAGACCGAAAAAATTGGTTAAATACTTATATCAATCCAATTTAAGTTGGACATTTGTTTTACAAATTAGCCTTTAAAATTTAATACTAATGTGATATATTCTGAAAGTTGGGGACCTGTTGTGATATTTACTTGAAAAAGTTTCTCTCTCATAACTGCCAATTATTTATCAGGTACACGTATACTTACCTTCCCTCTTTTCCCAGTTTTCCTTCGTTTTCCAATCATCCAAACACAAAGCAAAACAAGTCCTTTTATTTAATTACATTCTTCCCTCTCCAATTCTAAACTTTTCACTTATTATAGGGTTTCTTAACCTACCAATTCATTTAAAAAGCGGTGCTAAGCGATGGACAGGATTTTGTGCATTTTTTGTGAAAATTTATCGAAATAAAGTCTTAGATCTCGCGGGCATCACGGAGTTTGAAAGAATTAGAACCAAATTTATTCAAGGTAACACTTTTGGTCAATTGGGTCTTTAAATTTATAGTTTTTGGTGAAAGTGAACTTATTTATTTAATAATGCTTTAAGATATAGCGAATAGCCGAGTTAAGAAAAAAGATTAATCTGCGTAAAGTTTCTAGTGATCATTTTGAGTTTAGATTGTGCTTAGTATGCCCTTTGAATTTATCCTATTTTGCAATTTCAGTTTTCTGATGGCTTGGAACCTAGATTATTTTGAATTGTTGGTAAATTTTATAGACCCGGAAATGTAATTTTTGATGCTTAAAGAGTTAAAGGTGACTTGATATTAGCTATTAAAGGTATACCGTGTCTTTGTATTTGCTCACTGTTGTAAAAATTGTGGCATTGAAATTTGAATTGCCTCTGCTATAATTATCTTGCTGTGACAAGGGGATTCCACCTTTACTTGAGCTTGTTCAAGTTTCTTTTATTTGTTAAAGATTTTGATGATTCTATGTCTAAATTCATCATATCCTTGGTTAGGTGTGATAAAAGTTTCAACCTTAAGATATGAACTTTATTATTAGAAGATATCTCTTACTTCTTATTTAGGGCTTGGTCGTATTTAAAGGGGATTTTAGTGAATTAAAAATCTTCTGAAGTTTTGTTACTATGATGTCGTTGGGCTTTGTTTGAATGGAACTATGTTAGTGAAGACTTTTATGCTGTTTTAGTTAGTTTATGTGTTCTTATGTTTCTTTTACTTTTGTAATTAGGATTTCAAATACTTTTCCAAAAAAGGAGGGGGATTTGAAGTATTAACAGAATCTACTGTCATATTGTCAAGAGTTCATTACAAGTTAAAGCTTCATTCCTAGGCCACAACTCTTGCTCTACATTTGATATCGAAGGAAACTAAAAACTCTAGAGAGAATGAGTGCGTTAGGTAGAGAGAGAGCGAGAGAAAATTTGGGAAAGTCCAATGCCTCCGTTGAGGAATGGACTGTTTTCATCAATAATCTTAGTAAGAGGGTGTCAAGACGTGTGTTAAGGGAATTTTTCAGCCCTTATGGTCAGATTCTGAGAATTTTCATTCCACGTTTTTTAGAGAAAATAAATTACAAGTCCTCTACTTTTGCTTTTGTCCAATTTGCTGATGAGGAAAGTAGGAAGAAAGCAATCCAGTTTGTAAATGGGAAGTGGTTTGATGGGAGAAGAGTCTTTGTAGGGGTTGCTAAGTACCAGAAGGCTAAGAGGAGGGATGTTGTTGATGGGAAGAGGATTTTGGAGATCAAGTCTGGAAAACAAGATTCTGTAAGGATAGGGAAGAATGTGGAGTTGGCGAGAAGAAGGAGGGATGGAAGATCGTTTAAGGATGTTGTGATTTCTGGCCTTAATATGAGAAAAGAATTAGTTACAGGGGGAAACTCGGTGGGTTCAAAACAGATAGCAACTGGTGCTAGAAATGATTGGAAGATGTATATTCCGGTGGACCGTTCGAATTGGGTCAAGAGATCTTTAACAGCGATAATGAAACCTTATTTGGAGCTGGTTACGATAAAGGAAGCTTTGGAACTCGAAGGAGTGTCAGTTGAGATATCGAGTTGGGGTTTCGCATGGAAGGCCTGCATCATTACTTTTAATACAGTTGATGAGCTATCATTTGCATGGAGAAATAAGAAAAAAGAGTTGTGCTTATGCTTCGATTGGTTAGCTCCAGTTTTGAACGATGAAGGAGTTCCAATGGCCTTTTGTCAGATTGAGTTATTAGGCTTGCCTTTACTGCGCTGGAATGAGGCATTCTTGCAAGAACTTACTGGGAGATGGGGAGAATATTTTTGTCTTAATGACAAATCTAAGAGTAGATTAGATCTTTCGTCGGCGAAAGTATTGCTCAGGGTGGAGAGTCCTTTTGACATCCTTGAATTGATCAAAATAGATTCTTATGGAAGATCTTTCAAAGTGAAGATATCCCTGGGGTCTGTGTTTTCTAATCCAGAAGAAATGGGGGAGGGGAAGTTGGGAGTAAAAATTTCAAATAATCTGAATAGTGATTATGTCTTGTCAGTAGAGGGGGATGGGCAGTTTCCAGATCTGGCAGCAGCTAATAATCGAGATGGTTCAGAGGAGTCCAGACAAAAACTAGCATCTTGGCTGAAAAGTAGTCAAAATGGGTGTGTGAATGGAGTTAGTGGGGAACAAGTTGCATCGAGTAAGTCAACTGAAGAAGTTAGTGACTGTGGGCTATCAGATATAAATCAGAAGGGGAATCATGTGGGTCTGGGATTGAGGGATATAACGGTCTCGAACAATATTGTCATTTCAGATGATAATGGGGCAGCTGTTTCTCCAATTAAGAAAATCTTTCTTACTGGGCCTGCTTTTAATCCAAAGTCGATAGGACAGAAGAATGATAATGGTCATCAACCCAATATCATTTCAGCTGATCCTAGGGAAGTTGTTGACAAGCAGTTTTTTCCTCGAGCAAAAAGTTTAATTAATCAGAGGAGGTTAAAAATAGCTCCTCTTCGTTCGGGTAGTGTTTGCTCTGAGGGGGTAGTATCTATCAGTTTTTATGACAGAGTTTACAGAAGGGTGTCTAGAGGTTTGGTCAGAGAACCTCTGGAGGAATTCAGTTATTCTTCAAATTCCTCCCATTCTTCAGTTAAAGTTAGGAACGAAGCTTCTGCTACTAGGGAAGTTTGCGATTTGTTGGGGATTTCTTTCAAAGGGGGGCAACAGATTCTAGAAGATGAAATATTCAAGTTGCAGTTGAAGGGGTCTCATAAGGACTCCTGATCGTTTCTTTCGGATTCTTTGCGGTTGTTATCGAGACTCATATCATATGTCAAAATTAAAAATTATTACTTGGAATGTTAGGGGGCTGGGGAGAACAGAAAAAATCAGAGTTGTGGCAAGATTGGTTTCTACAGAAAAACCGTCCTTTTTGCTTTTGCAGGAAACCAAACTGAATGTTTGCCGAACTGGATTGAGAAGGAAATTAGGGGCCAATTTTCTAAGAAGTTGTAGCTCTGTTTCATCTGATGGTTCAGCAGGTGGCTTGATGTGTTTGTGGAATGAGGATTTATTCGAGGTCAGTTCAGAACATAAGCAGTTTAAATTTATGGCATTAACAAGGAAGTTTAAGTTGAGTAATTTTGATTGTGTAATCATTAATGTGTATGGCCCTTTAGTAGATGCTGACAAAGAGGAGTTTTTCAGGGAGTTTTTGTGTTTTGTTAGTAGTTTGACTGTGCCTGTCTGCATAGGGGGGATTTTAATGCCTATCTCGTTCCTGAGGAGAAATGTGGATTTACTCATAACTGGCACTCCATGAATCTGTTTGGATCTTTTATTCAACTCTATAATCTGTTGGACTTACCATTAGTAGGGGGGAGGTTCACATGGTGCAATTTTAGAGAGTCCCCCACTTGTGTTAGGCTGGATAGATTTTTGATTACTGGGTCCTTTTTTACTCATTTTCCTAATGTGATCCAAAAAATACTGCCCAAATCGTTTTCAGATCATAATCCAGTCGTGCTAGTAGAAGATTGTTATAATTGGAGTCCTAAGCCGTTTCGTGTTTTAACTATTTACTAGACGAGGAGGGGTTTGCTGGGGTGGTTGAAAATTCAATTGCAAACGCGAGGATTGAAAACGAGTCCAGGGGAATTTTCTCTCTACTTGAAGAAACTAAGCTGGCTATTAGGAATTATCCAAGGAGTAATCTTAGGGGGTTTTCGTTAGCAATTTCAGAATTGGAAACCAAGATTAACGGCATAAAGCTGAAGTTTCAGAGTGGAGGGATCTCTGCTCAAGAAAGGGAGGTGCTTGATATTTCGAGGAAGGAACTGTGGATTTTGCATAGGAAGGAGGAGAGTATTTGGCTTCAGAGGTCTAGATTGAAGTGGAATAATGAGGGGGATAGGAACACCAAGTTTTTTTCATTTATGTACCCTAAATAGAAACAAAATCAATTCCATTTCAGCATTGAAGGTGGGTGGTGTTGTTATCTCAGACCCGGAGCAGTTGAGAGGACATATTTATGATTATTTCAAGGCTGTTTACACTTCGAATTCAACCCTAGAGGTGGAGGATATGGATCTAAATTTTGCTAAACTGAGTCACGATCAAATGAAGGTTCTTGAAAGGAAATTCGCTGAACAAGAAGTGTGGGAGGCAGTTTTTCAGTCAGACAGTTCCAAATCGTCGGGTCCTGATGGTTTCACGATGGGTTTTTTTAAGAAATTCTGGCCAAACCTGAAGGTTTTCATTATGAAATTTGTTGAAGATTTTTACAATGGAAGGAATTGGGAGCATGGGGTTAACCATGCTTTTATAACCTTAATTCCCAAGATCAGAAATCCGAAAAGCATTGAGGATTACAGACCAATAAGCCTAGTCGGCAGCCTGTATAAAATTATTTCCAAAGTTCTTTCCAGAAGGCTTGTGTCTGTTAATAAAGATGTCATAAGCCCTTCTCAATTTGCCTTCATCCCGGGTAGGCAACTGCATGAATGTGCCTTCTTAGCCAATGAAGCTATTGACTATTGGAGAAAAAAGGGGAGGAAATGCGTTTTTAAAGTCGATTTCCGACGAGCCTATGATTCGATGGAATGGCCAATTTTATTAAGATTAATGAAAGTTATGGGGTTTGGAGATAAGTGGATTTCCTGGATTAAATTTTGTATTTCTTCTGCTTCTATTTCGGTACTTGTTAATGGCTCTCCTATTGAGGAATTTAAGATGGGCAAAGGGTTAAGACAAGGCTGCAGTTTGTCTCTTCTGTTATTTAATATAGTCGGGGAATTGTTGAACCTTATGTTGGTCAAGGCTGCAGCTTGTGGTTTGTTCGAAGGATTCAGTATTGGTAGGGAGGATAATCTCTTCATTTTGACCCATTTGCAATTTGCAGATGATTTAATTATTTTCTGCAGGGATTCTCCTACTCAGATTCTTAATATTAGGAGAGTGTTGAACATCTTTAGTCTAATGTCAGGGCTAAGCCTCAACTTATCCAAGAGTAAGTTATATGGTGTTAACTTGGAAGATGAACTTTTAAAGGAATGGGCTTCTGTGGTAGGTTGTGGGATGGGTGCTTTACCTATGACTTATCTTGGTCTACCGATTGGTACTACCAAGAATTCTGAGTTGTTATGGGAACCAGTCATCCAAAATTTTTCTACCAAATTAGCAGGCTGGAAAGCTTCTTCACTATCGCTGGCTGGGAGATTGGTATTGGTGAAATCGGTGTTGTCTTCTTTGCCGATTTTCTTCATGCCCATTTTCAAAATTCCTCCAAAAGTAAATCATAAGTTGAATTCTATAATAACTAGATTCCTTTGGGGGGAAGGTCCAGTAAGAAAACGGATTCATTGAGTTAATTGGAATTTGGTATGTCAACCGATTGAGGAGGGTGGTCTGGGTGTTTTGGATTTGAGTTTGATCAATCGAGTGTTACTTGGGAAGTGGGTTTGGAAGTTTGCTAATGAAAAGGAGTCCCAATGGAAGAATATGTTGTGCTGCAAACACAATATCAGTAACTTATCTTTATCTATAAGTACGGCAGTTTCTTCTCAAGATTCTTGGACTTGGAGAGGAATTAGGAATAACTATGAGAGGAAGGATGAAATTGGAGATTGTTTGAGGTCAAACTCGAAACTGCAAGTGGGGAGTGGCAGATCTATTGCTTTTTGGAATGATGTTTGGGTCAATAACTCTATCTAAAAGAACAATTCCCAAGGATTCATGCTCTTTCTAGTAATAAATGGGAAAAAGTTACTGAATTTGGTTGTTATGAAAACAGTGGATGGGTTTGGAATGTTCAATTAAGGAGGAACTTATGTGATTGGGAATTAGATCAGTGGATTTCCTTGATGTCTTTGCTTGATTGATTCAGTTGATGACTTTTTGGCTTGGTCTGGGAAAGGCGATGGATTGTTCTCGGCGAAGTCCTGTAGACTGACTATTTCAGGGAGTACTAGAGGGAATTTTCAGTGGAGTAAATGGGTGTGGTCTGGTTTGGTTCCCCCAAGAGTTCAAACCTTTTTATGGCAATTATCTCACCACAAAGTGGCGGTTAGAGTAGAGCTGAAGAAACGAGGGGTTCCATTGGAAAATGTTCTTTGTCCTTTATGTCTTAAGGATGAAGAAACAATTCAACATCTTTTTCTCTTGTGTCCGGTTGTACGGGAGCTGTGGAATAGGTTCCTAAGGTTATGGGATGTACTTTCAGTTTTGCCTAAAGATCCACAATCCTTTCTTTGTTCTTGGTCTCATTTTATGGCGTCTTCTTCAATTTGGAAGTTTATCCCCGGAGTCGTTTTGTGGTCTACATGGAAGGCTAGGAATTATGTGGTGTTCGAAAACGGCAATCTGGACATGGCTGTACTGTTTTTCATTTCCAGGTTTAGGCTGGCCAAATGGCTTTTAGCAAAATATCCTCAGGCAAATATTCAGTTCGATCTTCTGGTAGGGGACCGGACCCAAGGCTAGCTGACAGTATTATAATTTTTCCACCTAAGATGAAGAAGGATACGTGATGGTCTCCTCCTCCACCTGATTTTTTTAAGTTCAATGTGGATGGGGCGGTAAGAACTGATGGCTTACAGGGAGGAATAGGAGGAATTCTTAAAGACTCGAATGGCTCTGATCTTATCTCTTTTTCTACTGCTGTGGGACCAGGTCCTCCTATGTTGGCTGAGTTGAAAGCAATTAAAGAGGGAATTGATTTATTTCTTTCTTCCCAATGGGCGGCGAGAGGAAGACTAGTGTTAGAGAGTGATTGTTCAACGGTACTGGAATGGATTTTGAGGCCTGTTACTGCCCTTCTTTTTTCAGGTCCCTCGTTGGGGATATTTGTGCCTTAGTCTCTGCTAAGGACATTATGGTTAGATGGATACCTAGGAGCTGCAATTGGGAGGCGGACAAGCTAGCTAAGGAGGGAATAGGTTGATCGCTTTTAGCTTTAGATATGTTATGTTATGTTCTGTTAGGAGGTTTATAGTGTAAAGTGTCTCTTATGTAATTCCGGGTTATTAATAAATTGAGGTACTCTTTTCCTCCTTCATTTTGTTGTCTCCTCTTTAGAGGCAACAATGAGGGAGGTTTTTAACGAGACCTCCTATTCCTATAAAAAAAAAGTACTAACAGATTTGGATGAGGTTAGAATTTTTCATATTGCCTTTTATACCCTGTCGATTGTAAACAACTGTAGAGGAGACAATGAGGTGAGTCATGTTGGCTTCAGTTATATGTTGTTTTGGTTCTGGGACTTTTAGTGTCAATTATGTAGGCTTTCAGGCTAGTTGACTATTCTGGTTAGCTTTTATCAATCACACACCGCTACAAGTAGGTAACTGGGTTCGGCTTTCAGTTGGTTTAGGTTTCAAATCTTTGGTTATGTTAAACTTCAAGCTAGACATCCTAGTTAAGTGAATTTCTTCTGCGTCTTTCAAACCTAAACCCTCAAATAGTTAAAGATTGTTTCAAACTGAAAAGTTTCTGGAGCAGGAGGTTCAACTTTGATAGAAACCTAGTTGATGTAAAAGTGTAATATATTTTTGTTTCAGAACTATCAAATTCTGCTGTAATGCTTCTTGTATAATTTGCATAAGGTTGCACCTACAGGATCTTTGATAAAATCTTAACGAACCCATAATGGAAGTTAAAATGAGTAACTGGGCTGGTAAACTAGGGTGTATAGTAATAAAAAAATGACGCCTTCAATATCTATTATGGAATAAGAAGGGGAAGAAATTGTTGTTCAAAATCCTTTCTCAAGGGGGAAAAAGGAAGCTATGAATTTTTTGGTTGTTGTTGGATCTCAAGTAAGTTTTTGTATTTCCACTTTCAGATTCTTTAAAAGAATGAATTAAATCAGATTTTCTTTTTATAAGTTCTATCAGATGATTAAGTAACTTTCAATATCGATATGATAGGCTGTAAAAATCTTGTAAACATCCTTAGCACAAGTAATATAGATTAAATCTTCTCTATAACTTTTTTTTTTTATAGAAGTTGGAGGTCTCATTAAAAACTTCCTTCGTATTCGTTCACATACTAAGGTATGTTAACGAACATTGGAAGGAAGAAAAGAGTACCTCAAATTTTATTGATAAAATACCCGATACAAAAGACACCATGGAATATCCTCTCATGGTGATGTACACCATTACAACAAACACCTTAACCTCATATAACCTCATCCAAAGCCACAGTCTAATCACCTTACTTCTAATTACACTACCAACAGTAGGAATAAAACAACGCAACAGAACATAATACAAATAAAAAGTAACACCTACAACCATATAGACTAAAACAACCACAATTGAAGAGACAATATCTAATGAGACTCGTCTTCTTTAGGAGCCCAAGAGTTTGGTTTGAATGAAGGCTCTATCTCATGCACCATGACCTTGAAGAAGTTGTCACCAACTTTCAATTCCACCATCGCATCAATTCTCGCATCAGCCTTTGCGAGGACCTGGATTTTTGCCCGATCAAAGGATGATGGAGATTGACAACTTTCGTCGATAGCTAGTAATAAACCCCACTTATCAGCAATGTTCTTGAAAGTATCCCAAATCCATGCGTGAAAAGGAACACCCTTGCAAACTAACCATACTCGACGACACTCCATTACCAAACTCTCTGACCAAGCTTCGACTATGGAGAACCACTCTGCGAGAATCTTTGATTTATCGTTCTTCACACTTCTCAATGAAGCATTGTCTTCGAAAATCATTAAAATCGCATTACCAGCAGCTCTCATTAAGGTGAAGCCAGTGAGGCCCTTCGCTTGCATTTGTTTGGCGAGATGACCAATTTTGACAAAGTCCTTGCACCACCCCACTAGACAATTGCTCAACACCTGAAGTTTTTCTTCATCTATAACACCTTTAACTTTATAATGATTCTTCCTCGAAACATCTTCCATCCCGGACTTGCGAAGACCACCTGTCGAGGACTTTCTCCAATAGGAATGTCTAGGTTTGAATTTAGCGAAATAAACACCAATTTTGCTTCCGTCGATATGAGAACCATTCATTTTTGAGATCGCTCTCCTTGCTTCATCGATTGTTGCAAAGCGAATGAAACCAAAGCGAACTCCTTTTGAATTTCTTTTATTTGGAATAAAAGCATCAAGAACCCGACCATAGGAGCGAAATAAAAATCCAAACCTCTTCCAGTGAATGTTCTCTGGTAAATTATCAATAAATAACGTGTAACATCTAGTCTTATCATTACTGCACCCCTTTGAGGTGGACTCCAACACTGCTTCTCTTTGGCCTTCTCCACTATTTTCAAAGTCGGCGCCTGCTGCTCCACTCTCTGATTATGAAGCTCCGATTCCGTAGCCTTCGGCACCAAAATCTCCACTCGATTCACCTTCTTATCCGGAATTTTCAAACTTTTTCCAGCCTCTTTATCCCCACTATTGAACTGACGGCCAGTCTTAACCCCAAGAGCTGCGGCTTCAACCCTCATCTCATCTTCTTCCTCGCGTTTCTTGGTCACCTTTTCCTCCAGCACATGGACATCATAACTTGATGGACGAACTTCATTAGGAACGGAAGATGAATCTGTTGTCTCCCTCCCAGCTGCAAGCTTGTCATCGACAGATTTCTCATCTTGCACAGCTTCTCTTGCTTCCCTTAGTTTAGCTGAAGACTCTTTAACGAGCTGCTCAATATCAAGCCTTGTCTTATGCAATTTGTCACGTAATTCAGCGGTGTCTTTAAGTGAACAGAGGGAATTAACAAGGCGATCAAATGCCACAATAGCAGTTCGTATCTTGGAAATCCCCGCTTCCACAGACTGAGAAGCCGAAGCATGATCTGCAGCTAACCTTGGCTTTTGCCGAGAGGACTTGTAATGGTTAGGGGTAGCAAGACCCACTTCAGGATTCCGGGAACTCATTTCTTTTGTGTTGCTTTATCATTGAAGAAAAGCAAAGGAAGAAAGGGTGATGAACAGAATCAAAACTGCAGCTAAAGATCAGCGGCGAACGTAGCTGACTTGATTGCTTTGTGGAGAGACGACAGACGCAAGGAGATGGAGAAAGTAAAGATAATGACTATACTGCTGTTGTAGATCGCGCCGTCGTCGAAGAAAAAGAAAGAAGAAGCGTCGCCAACAGCTAAAAGTCTAAGGGCCACGTCCAAGATCCACTGAGTTGTAGGCACTCCCTGGTGAAACGAAGCCTAGATCCTTGATGCTGGCGTCGAGTCGAAAAAACCTGGAAGTTTTGGTGTTCAACGTCCACCGAACATGACGGAAGCGCGGCGTCTGACGGCAGCGGCGGGTGGCTGATGACGGCGGCGGACAGCGGGTGTATGTCGGAGGAGAGAAAATTTTTCAAAAACACCTGGGGGAATTTGAAATTTGAAATCGCGGGTTAGAGAGAAGCTGGAGCTTCTCTCACTAACACGTGAAAAGTAGTGCTTGTTGTTGGTTTGGTCACAAGAAAATTGCGGACATCTTCTCTATAACTTATTTCAATGCTTTTAGATAGAGGACTACAGTTTCTTCTATTTCTAATTATAGATAAACTTAGGTGGTCATTCATCAAAGGGTAATATTCTCTTATAAGACTTGCATGTCGACGCCTCTTCACAAGCATACACAAGGTTCCTCTTGTTATGGTGACCATGGGTAGTTCCTCCTCCTGGTTTTAGGCATAACATTGGTTTGGCTCTGATTTATTGGTGTGTTCTCCAGGGCTAAGACAAGGAGCTTCTGATTGTCAAGTTGCTAAATATGTTGTATTACCTTTACCTTAAGCCTTACAAAGTTAGTTCCTTTATTTTAGAATTGCTAAATTAGTACCCTTTGTTCTTACCGATAATTGACTCTTTGTATCCATGTCTAAGAAACATAGCAATTAATGCAAATCACAATTTTGAATTTCATTATTCACGTTCTTCACTTTTTTTCCCTTCTTTCTGATAGGCATGTTTTTTTTTCCTTTCAGTCTCCCTCCCCCTTCCTGTTATAGAGGAAGAGATTACTGTTAAATTTGGTTATCTTATAACTGTTCTTTTTCTATCACAGGTGCGTTATGTAATCCTTTCGGGTACTAAATAAGTTGCTTTACTAACTGACAACTTAAAAAGGGATTTTGCTGCCAATGTTTCTGTTCTATCGAGAAGAAAATTGTTTCCATTTCTATGTTGATTAATTATACTGGTTGGTATTCATATTTAAGTTTGATCCCCCGGTTTATTTTGTCTACTTCCCTCGACCTGACTCCCCATTATCTCTCTATCCATCTATATGTATGTGCATATATATATATAATTTCATTTTTTTTGTCTCTACTGCAATATCTGTGCCTAACTAAGAGCATTTATGTGCTGTTTTTGAAGCTTTTCCCTGGAAGCATTTTTTCCATTCTGTTTGTTGCATGGAGGGAGCCCTTTGAATTGCCTCAGACTGTTGCTTCTTTCCTTTCATGTAGTCATGGCTGATCATGCTTTAATGGTAGCTGATACTTCTCAACCCCTTGTAGATCTTTCATTGGTTATTGGGCAGGAATTCCCTGATGTTGAAACCTGCAGAAGAACCTTGAAAGATATTGCTATAGCATTGCATTTTGATCTTAGGATAGTGAAATCTGATCGCAGCCGATTTATAGCCAAGTGCTCCAAAGAAGGTTGTCCATGGCGTGTCCATGTAGCAAAATGTCCTGGGGTTCCCACTTTCTCAATTAGAACTCTGCATGGGGAGCATACGTGTGAAGGGGTTTGCAACCTCCATCATCAGCAAGCATCAGTGGGTTGGGTTGCAAGATCAGTAGAAGCACGCATTCGGGATAATCCACAGTACAAGCCAAAAGAAATCCTGCAAGATATCCGAGATCAGCATGGAGTTTCTGTTTCTTATATGCAAGCTTGGCGTGGAAAGGAACGAAGTATGGCCGCACTTCACGGGACTTTTGAAGAAGGGTATCGCCTTCTTCCTGCATACTGTGAGCAAATAAGAAAAACCAACCCTGGAAGTATTGCATCTGTTTTTGCTACCGGACAAGAAAATTGTTTCCAGCGCCTCTTTGTTTCTTACCGTTCTTCTATCTATGGGTTTATAACTGCTTGTAGACCACTTCTAGAACTTGATAAGGCAGAACTGAAAGGAAAATACTTGGGTGCATTACTTTGTGCTGCAGCTGTTGATGCCGATGATGCATTGTTTCCCTTGGCAATTGCTATTGTTGATGTGGAAAGTAATGAAAATTGGATGTGGTTCATGTCAGAGTTGAGGAAGCTTCTTGGTGTAAACACTGAAAACATGCCTAGACTTACTATACTATCCGAAAGACAGCGAGGCATTGTGGATGCAGTAGAAACCCATTTTCCGAGTGCGTTTCATGGTTTTTGTCTACGTTATGCCAGTGAAAATTTCCGTGATACATTCAAGAACACGAAATTGGTTAATATCTTCTGGAATGCTGTTTATGCTCTCACTACTGCGGAGTTTGAGAGCAAAATTGCTGAAATGATAGAGATCTCGCAGGAGGTTATACAATGGTTTCAACTCTTCCCTCCGCAGCTGTGGGCGGTAGCATATTTTGAAGGAGTGCGATATGGCCACTTTACACTAGGTGTTACTGAGATGTTGTATAATTGGGCCCTTGAATGTCACGAGCTCCCCATTGTGCAAATGATGGAGCATATTCGCAATCAACTCACTACTTGGTTTAACAATCGTCGAGAAATGGGAATGAGATGGACCTCAATTCTTGTCCCATCTGCTGAGAAGCGGATTTCGGAGGCAATTGCCGATGCTCATTGCTACCAAGTGCTTAGAGCAAATGAAGTAGAGTTTGAGATTGTCTCAACCGAGAGGACAAATATTGTGGATATTAGGAGTCGTGTGTGTTCCTGTCGCCGTTGGCAGCTGTATGGCTTGCCATGTGCACATGCTGCAGCTGCCCTTATTTCTTGTGGGCAGAACGCTCATCTGTTTGCTGAACCTTGTTTCACTGTGGGAAGCTACCGTGAGACCTATTCGCAGATGATACATCCTATTCCTGATAAGAGTGTTTGGAAGGAGCTCGGTGAAGGAGCCGATGGTGGAGCTGCCAAGCTTGATGTCACGATACACCCTCCCAAAATTCGTCGGCCACCTGGCAGACCGAAAAAGAAAGTTCTTCGAGTAGAGAACTTGAAGCGGCCAAAGAGAGTTGTTCAATGTGGTAGATGCCATTTATTAGGTCATTCTCAGAAGAAATGCACAATGCCAATTTGATCCTGATTTAGCATCTCCGTCTTTCATTTTTTTTTGCCTCTCTTCTTTTACCCTTCAATATACTGCTTTGAAATTCCAATAGAATGTTTGTAATCTTATTGTATGGTTTTAACATCCCAGTCTTAGAATAAAGCATATCCCCTGCTTTTTCTTCAATTCTGCTTCCATATGCACATTTTTGTTTCCGTTTTACAGGAGTTAATTGGTCCTGAATTATACTTCTTTTGGCAATATGGTATCAAAAGGCTTCATATTCAGGTATGTTAAATGCCATATCAATAATGACCTATAGATGTATTCGTATAGAGAACTTGGTGATCAAGTTTGTATCCATTGTACTGTTTGTGGAACTTGTTTTGGGATTCTTATGGGACCAAGTCTTTTTACCTTTGGATTGAACAATGTTAGGCACTTGATCAATTAATGGATCTTATCAAATTATTATCTTTTAAATTAAGTGAAATGAATTGGAATTTAGTTTAATAGAACAAATTTATTCAAGTTAAATTAAAAATAATAAAATTAAACTTTATTGATAATATTACTAAACTTTACATTAGAGCAAATAAACTCAAGACCATGTATATACTTCATTATGATAAACTTGATTTGATAATTCTTCTATTTAGAACATCTTTAGTTTATCATTTTAAAAGATAAAATAATTATAATTTGATATTATATATACATGTAAATTATATGTACCGACTTTTTAAAGATTTCTTTTAGTAATTTTTGTTGAAAGAGACTAATACACATTTTCAAAACTAATTGTTATTCAGTTTATTCCTTTTATTTAAGCTATAAAAATAAATAATTAAATTAAATTAACTTGATAGTTTTAAAAAAAAAAGTCAAATTGAATTTTGCTTTCTTCGTCCTTGTACAAGATAGCTTACATTACATCAACAACAAAAAAAAGTAGCTTGCATTAAAAAAGCACTAAACTTAACTATAGTTAATTATTTAAACCCTTCATTTTTCTCGAGAGTATCCATTTCAAATCCTCTATATCTGGCAGACATTCAAATGTTGATGCCGAGGTATAATCCTTCAAAATACAAGAAAAAGAACTAAAATAAAAAATAAAAAAATTGGCATATGCGTGTCGAACAAATAGCCGTATACAAAGCTTCATTGTTTTCACTAATTCCAGTACAACCCCAGAAACCACACCTAGCTGAAGGAAACCATACCAAAATATTTACCAATTTTCACCCAATGGTTATATCTTATCAATTTTACGTCCCCTTGATACAGATACATTGTGTAATGAAATGTAGCAAGCTATTCTACTTATAAATGAGCTTGAGAAACTTCACCTTTCTCTCCAAGTTGGGTCTCTGCTTCCGAGATCTGAGCAGATGCTTCCATCTTCAATCCCTGCATGTTTATTTCAGGGATAATCGGAGGCTTTATTCTTCGCGTAACTGTCATATTCAGACCCTGTGTTGTGTGGATAGTTGCTCCGGTAGTCATCTCAACCTGCATATCGATTTGATTGATCTTTTATAAGGTACATGTATGCTTCCCTTTTTGAATTACTTCAGGTTAATGGGACCACACAGACATACTCAAAGCACATTCGAATAATTATTGCACTCTCAAATGAAAAACGACTCGTAACTTGGCTAAGGTACTGGTATTTCAGCTTCGGAAATAGCTGAGAATCTCTTTATAAATAACTTATGCCTGGGGCATTATAATGCAGTTTCAAGATGCAGGTGATCAACAGTTTTTATTCTATTAATGTGATAATGGTGGTATCAAAAAGTATACTTTACGAAAGAGTTTCCTTTTTTTTTTTTGGATTCTTTGTCCAATATAAGCTAGGGATTTTGAAATGAAAGTTTGAGAGCCAGCTACAGTTTGTCATTTTAAATATTGCTACTGACATGTTGTTGGTTGAACAAAAGTATGATCAAATAGACTAATACCCTCCACCCTGTTTTTTTCTTGCAGCATTTTGTATTTGCACAAAGTTGTTGACATGAACATAATGCACAAGGCAGTTTACTTACCGGAGGAGCTCCGAGTGCCATTTGGAAGTTAAACCGCCGGACAAGCATTGCAACTGCTACAACAGCCTGTAGATCAAAGTAACTTTTCTTCATGTTTTACAATACAAATCACTAGTGTCTAGAATTTTCACGTTTTACCTAGAACAATTATGGAACCCAATACACAGTTAACAACTTTCAAGTTTTGATACCAAGTACTGACTGAATTTTTCATACGAATCTTTCCATAAAAAAATACCTCAAACGATGCAAACATGTCTCCTACACATTTCCGAGGTCCTCCACCAAAGGGCAAGTAACTGAGACAAGAATGCCAGCATTATTATTTTGTAATTGAAGGGAAAAAATGAAAGCAACTGAAACAAAGGGCAAATAACAATTGAAACAACATATTAGACTATACCTTAGCTTAATTATTTAGTTAATCTAACCTAAAAGATGCGACTTCTGGAGACTTTAGACTTTTGATAATTGATATACAAGAAACTTTGCCTTTGGTAACCCAAAAACTATGTTACTCGGGCTAGGGAACAAGTGTCGGATATGAGTACGTGAATGACATGAGCATATTTAATTTTTTATGTTTTTCCGCATATTTGGAGGGTCTTATTTCCATGCTCATGTATACGCCAACTCTTAGAATTTAATAAACTATTTAGATTTTATATTAAGATATTTCATTTCTACAATTCAGGAATTAGTCCTCGTACAGTGCCATTAAAACCGCCCTGGAATTTTTAGACAATTTTCAATTTTACCAAAATATATATATAAACTACAACTACTAGAGATCAGAAAAAAAAAATTGTTCTCATCTCATTTATAAATATAATTGATAAAATAAAGAAATTTGTAATTATTTCTTACCAGAAATTTTGGTTTGTTTCATTAGGATTCGGTCCATCCAAAGGCCATCTTTCGGGATTGAACTTCTCTGCATCTTGCCAGAGACTTGGACTACGATGCAGATTCCAAACAGATATAAAAATATCTTCACCCCTAATGTAAAATATATGGCAATATTAAAAGTTAAGAAGTACAAGTGGTAAAGACAGTATATCATAACACTTTCATGTAAAGAAGCTCAAGATTAAGCAACAGTATACAGATAAAAGATACCCGTATATGTGAAGAACAGTTCTCACAACATCCGCATCCAATATGCTTTCTAGAAAAAGCACGTGGATAGAAAACAAATACTTCTTAGTTTTTACAGGTGACAAATTGGAAAGTGCCAGTCCAGAACGATAGCTTCTCAAATAAAACAATAAACTCCTCCAGGTGATCAGAAGAATAAGATGATTCACAATTCCAATATCATTCTGATAATCTTGCAACAAACTTATAGGCATATACGATGACATATTGATTCATATGCCGAACTTTTTATACCTAATCAGGTGATAAATATTGCTAGAAACCATTTGATCTGTGCTACAAATTCTATATTTGTAGGTTCGCCAAACAACAATGTTCTACGAGTAAAAAACAAACAAAAGAGGCATAGAAATTGATTTTAAATGGAGTACGCTAACTGTCCAATAGGATGGCAATGGGTTTGACCTTTTTATTGGGTACTCTCCAAGCACATCCTTTTCAAGAGAACGTCGAATTAAGACTGGTGGCTGTGGGTAGAGCCTCAAAGACTGCCCAAAAAATAGATAGAGTCATTTCTATTTGAGGTGCATTAAGGGCAAAATATTTGATGCAATATGAAATGGAAATAGAACTACTCTTACTTCATTAATAACACGAGTTGTGTACTTGAGTTTTTTCATGTCGTTTATTGTTGGAAATCGATCTCCTAGGACAGAGTCAACCTATGAAGTTTGATATGTTAATAAATAAGAAAATGAGACTATGAGATAGGTTGCATAAAGTGAAAGCTTCAAATAGCCCTTTTATAGCAGTATTGCAAAAAAAGTTAAAGAAGATACCTCGTCTTGGAGCTTGGAAACAACACTAGGTTCCTGCAGCCATCAGAGAAAAGGAACTAATCAGAACTTGACATGAGTTGTAATTCAACCATGTTACTTGTTTCAATTCTGTGAGAATAATAACTCATTTGAGGGAGATCTCATCTCCTCTGAAACAACCAGCAATTTAGCAACACTCTGAAAGCATACTGTAGGCATTAATATAATGAACCTAGCAATCTTGGAATAGGTTGGATCGTATATTATTTGTTTAAAGAGTACAACCAATCACAAGTAAAAGGGATAGGAAGGGAAGATTAGTCGGTTCTTATACACATTAACATTAAGGAGAAAAGTATTATAAAACAAACGAGTATTATCAGATAGAATATTATCGTATGCTTTTCCTGCCTATAAGAGTATGACTTGAATTCAATTTCTTTCATGAGTGAAGTAGGAGCGATCCAGTTGTTGCTTTCTTTTTACTATAATGAACTTGAAAAAACTAGAGTACTTCAATATGATTCGTGTATTGGAACCAGGTTCCCTCTGGCAAATGTTGACTAGTAGATCAAACCATGTAATCCTTCTGTCTTCATGGTTTTTTTATTCTTGCTGCATTAATTCTTTATTTAGATAAATGTATTTTTCACAAAGCAGTTAAAGTATTTAATGATAAATGAATAGAAATTAGTACCAAAAGCTTTTTTATAAGTGCAGACGACAAACAAGAAGCAAAACATCTCAAGATATGGAATCGGCTCCTTTTTCTCAAAGAACAAATTCTTGAATTACCTTTGATAAAAGATAGAAAGTCCATGTCAAAACAGCGGCAGTTGTTTCATGCCCAGCAATAAGCAATGTCATTAAATCGTCACGGAGTTGCTTGCTAGATACCTATAAAAAGATTGAAGGAAACCTTATATCTCATGAGCTAACAGATCCACACATTTGATAACTATTATACATACATCATCCCCTGAAGCCAGCAAAAAGTGGAGAATACTAGGATCTTGTTCATTCATGTACTCGTCATAAAACTGTAGCTCTTCCTCATCTACCATCCTCTGAAAATTGAAGAGTTTAAATTTAAAGAACAAAAGAAATATTTAATCAAGTCAGTGAAAAGATCGATAGCCATAAGATACAGATACCAATACGTAAAACATACAAAAACCAAACAAAGTTTTCACCTTAAACTGATATATTAAAAAGGAGA